TGATGCTGGTGACTGCTGTCAACGTGGTGGAAGTGCATGGAACGCGTGGTCCCCACCCTCGGCCCACTCAGTGGATAGACACCACTACCGTGACTTTGTCCGTGACCGCAATGTGAAGAATGCAGGAATGTACAGACAGGCTTTTGGTTCTGGTGTCCAAACCTCTGTGACTGACCTGTAGGACTTTTAACCTTTAGGAAGCCTTGATTGTTCCCTGTGACACCCTGGAACTTTGAAGGACAGGAGAAGACATCTTTTAAAAATAATTAACCTATGTGCTGAAACACCTGAATATGAAGGAATAGCTTTCTAGGTTTTTCTCTTTCCACTTAAGAGAAAATACCTTAAGTTTTTTCTTACTGGGGGAAAGGTTTAAATAGCTTCCTTGGTTGTAACAAAGCTGCATATTCTAACCATAGAAACTATATTTTGTTCTCAAAGCGTTTCAAGTAAGCTACCATGAGCGATTTAATTGTGCTTGACATGATCTTTTAACTGTTTTATATTTTTTAAAAATAGAGGAGATGGCAACTGGCAGGTGAAGGCTGCTCCTTTTTAGTTCTTCTGCACTTTTAATAATGTGCTTAACTGGATATTAAATAGAATTATACTTTTGATATTAAAAATAAAAAGCTTTTAAGGAAACCTGAAGGACCTCTAAGTAGGTTGTCTGAGAGTGTCTTTCTGAGATGTTTTGCTTGAATGCAAAAAAACCTGTTCAATTGTGTTTCCTGGAAAAGCATGTCAGCTTGCCAGTATCCTTATTGGTGTGACCAGTTCAGGTTGTATGATGTAGCTACATGTGACCAGTTTTCTTCTGCTTCAAAAATGCTAGTTCAACAATGCAGTAACAGCAAAAACAAAGAAGTGCCTCCCTGCAATCTCAGGGGCTGAGAATCATGAGCCATTTACATCTCCTTCATTCCTCCCTTATCTTCTTTGGAAGAAAAATTGTTCTGCAGCCTTCCCAGCTTTCCACATGTCAGTTTGAAGTCCATGACATTAGATAATTCATCCCTTAGAGCTTTTTCTAATTTGAAGGCACAGGCATCTAGGAGGCTGCAGAACACTGGAAAAATGTTTACTGTAAAGAAGAACACAGAAAACTAAAGCCAACTTGCAACAATAAACTAAGTTCAATCCTGCACCATCAAAATTCTAAAGAAAACAGAAGCCTCTTTTGCAAGGGAAGAAAAAATAGGAGGGCACAGATGTTGGCACAGCTCTTCTTTACACTGCATAGATGCAATGTTAAACCACCTAGAAGGGTTGTAGAGGGTTTATTTGTAGTCACTCCATTGAAATGTCAGGTGATGCATAGCAATGATGGCTATGGATTAGAGAAGCCTGGAGTTAAACAATAACAAAGCTTAAAAACAAAAGTTGAAAAATAACCAGCTTTATCAAGCTGCACTTCGTTTGTGGTTATTTGCTTAAAGATAAATAAACATTAAAAGGAGTCCATGGCATCTAAGCCAAGTCAGTTACTAGCCTCACTTTTTGCCCGCCCCTAGAGGTATCAAAAGACTTAAACAGAGGCTTGTGCTGCCCTGAGCACAGGGCAGGGTTGGATTAGAAAAATGTGTCCCTCTCCCAAATCCTGCTACCCTCTGCTTTCAGTGTTACACTGCCTGTGTGGAGCTCCCTCTTCCATTTTGTTAGGGGGATCTCTATTTATGGAAGCCCACAGACAATCCCTAAATGGTACATTCCAGGAAGGGGGCTGAGCTGACCCAAAATCTTCTGGATCTCAATATGGGCCCTCTGCAATCACTTGATGCTTTTGCCTGCCTTCTGCCCAGGCCAGTTTAAGAGATGTGGCTGTGTACACACTTGCAAACTGCTCATCATTATGATTGGAAGAGGGCAGTGGCGTAGCGTGCGGGGTGCAGGGGGGGCCAGCCGCACCGTGCGCAACATCTGGGGTTAGGGCAAATCCACGGGTTAGGGGGCACAAATCCACAGGTTAGGGGGTGCAAATTACTTGCCTTGCCCCGGGTGCTGACAACCCACACTACGCCACTGGAAGAGGGAGGCATTGTGAAACATAGGAACCTTAGAGGCTACAACGCATCATTTCCCCATCCTGAATGGAAGCCTGTGCACACAGCACAGAATACTTTCTTAACATTTGTTAAGTAGGGTGCATTCTAAACATACTGTACCTCCCAAGTCTTAAAACCCACCGGCAGCCACCTCTTTGGCGCATACCTCTTTGTATGTGTGGATTGGGGCACTAATTCAATCATGGTATTAGAAATGTACTAGAAAAATCACACCTCGTTTTATTTCCTAATATCAGCCAGCCATGGTGGACATGATGAGAAGCAGATATTGTGGTCAGAAGTTCCCTCTCTCACACACACCATTATAGTTAGCATAGCACTTTGTGTAACTTTGCCGGCTGCAGGATGTTCTCCTCCCTGTTAACTATACTGTGCATTCTCTTGCGGGGAGAGTGCACTATAGTTTGGGAACCACAACACTACAAGGTAATGTATTAATCTCCATTTTGTGAAAATCAACAAATGAAATGAAGTTGAGAACCAGTGAAATCAATAAAGCTGCCTAACTTCTTAGATTGTTTTCTATGGGAGAGCAGCAGTTCTCTTCATCACAGAAGATAGCTTCTTTCCCATTCCACCCTCTGGGTCTCCTCCCTCCCCACTCCCCACCTACATAAAATGTGGCTGAGATCTGCAAGTTATCCACCCCAGACTTGCACAAAGCTTTGGTGAGAATTGCACTAGAGATTTGGGTTGGGATGTCATCAATATTCTGATGACACTTGGCTGCATCTTTTGTGTACATGTTTTGATTCCAGAGCAGTGGTGTTTCTGAAAATAGTGATTAGTATCAGAACTAAAGTGGATGGGGGCAACCAAACTTAAACCAGACATGATAGCAGTACTGTTACTTAGAGGGTCTGGAAGTATGAGAATAAGCTGCTCTGGATAATGTTCCAGTCTCTTAGAGATCAGGTTCACAAGTTGCATTTGTTTCTGGATGTCCCAAGTGGTGGGAGTGCTTTTTATCAGCTTTAGTTTGTATACCAGCAATTACTGATTTTTGGAAGTCCTTTGCCCACAGATTGTATTCCATGTATAGTCTCTGTGCTATAAAAAAAGTGGAGAAATTGGGTGGGTGGGACATACAGATGAATTATGCATAATGATCTACAGCAGGTGAGTGGATCTGACATTTGCTGCTGCACTGCAACATGCTCAAGTAAACTGGGTCAAGCAACCATTAAAAATAAAAGTTAAGATGGCAGGGATGCCCACCCCTTCCAGTGCATAACCACGTCCTTTTTCTTTTCCCACCTTCTGCAGGTTGGAGAATGAGCTTCTGAAACAGGAACCTTCTGTACTATTGGGTTTCCCATAAGATTTAGAACCCTGGATAATCAAAGTTCTGAGCCATGAGTACAGGATCTCCCTGCTTTAAAAGTTTGCCCTCATGCACCAGAGGGCATAGAGACAGATGGTAGGGAACCTTTGGCCCTCCAGACATTGCTGAACTGCAAGCATGACCAATGACCACAGGTGGTGGGAGCTGGGAGTTCAGGAACATCTGAAGAGCCAAAGGTTCCCCACACCAGGGGGTAGAGATTTGAGCCTTCCCTTGCTCTCCTTAGGTGTTTGTCATAAGAAGAAATTGAACAGCCAAATAGAGTCAACGAAGGCGGTTTTTCTTTGATACATGGTAACTTCATGAGATGATCATCATGAAATGTAATCAAAGGTTGCAGTTTTCCCAGTCTAGGTTGGGGAGGGTATTATAGCAAGGGTGGTGTTTTATCGTGTGTATTTGGGAAGAGTGCTGCAGGAAAATGGAAGTGAAAGGTTTTACCATAATAATTATTGTGACATGAAGAGTAAAAGAGAAGTTCTGTATACTAAAGATTGTAAGGAGGATGAACAGAGTGAACAGAACACTTCCATTCTATTGCTTCTTAGAATTGTTGTTGTTGGCATCAGTCTATCTTGAAAGACAGTGGAGCGCACCTCTGGGTGCGAAGCCAAACCGCCAGAGAATCACAGCTGTGACTGTGGCTGCAGTAACTCGTAACTACTGCCTCCCACATTGTTTTTGTTGTGTTAGCAGCACCAAAGTGACCTCTCCAGGGCGCAAGCCTGGGCAGTGTGTATGGACGTCTTGGGATAACATTAATTACATAAGATTGCCATCTGTATCCAGATCTTTTAAAAGCAACTGTGAAAAAGCATCTGCATTATTAGCATGCCAGCTTCATTGCAGATCAGGAAAAGCACACATCAGTGGTTGCCAAATTGGAGTGCTTTGTTTAAAAATGCAAATAATCACTTGCTTAGGTGTTCGTGGTTTGCCTAACAGGAAGAGGTGGGTACTACAAGAATGTTCACATTCTAGAAAATAATTGTGTAATATCTGAGAGGGCCTCAGTCATAGATAGGACGGTGTTATGCTATTTATTTAAAGGATTATACTCTGCCTGGAGGAAAAAGCCCTCTCAAGGTAGCTTACAGAAATCTTTAAAAGCACATGCAAATGCTGGACCAGTCCATACACTTTGTGATTTTTAAGTTTTATTTTTAATGCTGGTTAGGAGCTTAAGGAGCCCTGCAGTTGTACTTGCATAGCACACAGCAGAAGGAGGGAACCTTTTTCAGCTTGAACACCACATTTCCTTGTTGGCAACTTTTGGGGGAGCTGCATGGTGGATGGGGCAGAGCCATAGGTGAATGGATATGACCCTTCTCTTTTCTAGCCATGCAGAAGTCAGAGGTTTCTGAGCACTCATCTCTCTATCCAGGCAAGTAAGAGGCATTGTCTCAGTTCAAGGACTTCATTCCAGCAAAGCAAAAGGACTTAGGGAGGACTTAGAGCAAAAACGGTGTGGATTGTCCTGAGGGCTGCATCAAGAGGCTCCTAGGCCTAAAGTTCCCCACCCTTGCTGCAGAAGCTTGCTTTGAATTGTTTGTGCCTAAAACCTTGTTTCCTTTTCATATCCCATGTAGTGTGCCCCTGATTGTTGATTTACTGGCTAACAAGGAATTGTTGGAAACTTGTATTGACAATACTACTGATTTTCCTCCTGCCGGAGGGTCAGCTGAAGCTTTGGAGCAAACGGGTCTTGGCTTCACTCCTCTTGGCACAAAGGAGCAACCCTCCGACAAGGCGGATCCTGTTGGTAAGGAAATGCCTGGTAGAATGGGAATTATTGGGACATTTAAAATACCTGTCTACTTGTCTGTGATACTGCAAAGTATCTGATGTGTATCTGGAAAGTATCTGGAATGCTTTAATGTTCAACAAGAATTGTGATCCTTCCTAACCTCCCAACGTGAGCTTATCTGCAACAGACCACAGTTCTTAACAAAACAGTAGGATTTCCAGATGATTCCAGCTGGTGCATATGCAATACTCATAAGTATGGTTGCACAGACGATGTTAAAAAAAACAGATAAATTACAGGAAAGTGTAATCCTGGTTTTAATAATTGACAGAAGTGACAAAAGCTTTTCAGAGCGCCATTCCAGTCTTAGGTTGACTTATATCCTATCTCTATTTGAGCAGGTGAGGATGCATCATTGAAACTCAAGCGGCTGGAAGCAGAACTCAACCCTTTGCTGGTTTCCCAGTCCAACATAAACATCAACAAACAGGTACTGAGTGTTAATTCCTCCCAAAGTTACTGAGTGTACAGTTTAGGTTTCAGTGAAATTTGTTACTTTCCTGCTCTTTAGCCCTGCCTATATTCTGTTTTTGGGAAACCGCTGTAAAAGCTGAATAGATGCATGTGTGAATCTGATAGAAATTCTCTGGGATCTTCCTGAATAACGTAGACTGGTTTACAGTCTGAGAGGTAGCAGTTGGCACCATATCTTGCTGGGAATACAGCTCCTTTAATTGAGAACAGATTTCCTCCTAAGACAGACAGCTCCTTTCTAGTGCATTCTAGTGCATGAGAAACACTCCAGGTTACTGGCTCCCTGACTAAACAGAAGAACCAAGTGCATTTCCATGAGTGATGTGGAGCTGAACATCTGCTCCCACTCTGAGGCCCAGGTCATGTTCTCTAAAATAATTCACATGCAACAATCCGTCTTAGCAGCATCGAGGAAATACTGTATGCACTAACAAGGTCCACTAGATGCCAGCAATTCAGGGAACGCAGGGGATATTTTTTCGTTCCCTGTGCTCATGCAAGTCACCATCAGAAACTTTTGGGTTTTCAGCAATTCACAACACACTTTTTTCTTTTGCCTGGTTTGGTGGGGATTTTGGTGCTTTAAGCTGGTTTGGTGCTACAAACAAGCATGTTAGTTTGACCCTTGTCATCCAGCTGCATGCATACCTTCTGCAACCAACAAACAAATTTTATCAATGGGGGAGAGGGAAACTAACATCATATTCCTCCTCCACTGTTCTTGGAATCAGCTCCAGCACAGAATCTTCTTTCCTCTAGCTAGCAGTGATAACTAGTTACTCCTCCATCATTCCCAGATCTAGCTAAAACTCAACAACAGGAGAGAGAATTCTGCATGGCCTTCTAATCATTTAATTGCTGTGAGACCACCGTGGGAGCCAGTTTTTGGTTGAAAAGCGGGATGAAAAGGCAATGAGCTAATAAATAATGGGTCTTTTTTGCTCGCTCTTTAGTTGGCAGGAGTAGCAGAGCATTGTAGCTTACTGAGAGTATTGAGGAACATGCAGGTCCTCATGGCTGTTTCTGTTTTCTGGGCTATATTGAAGCACCTCCGAGGAAAAAGTAGTTACTTCTGAATGCTCACGTTTTCCTCAATGGCTTTCATCTGCCTTGTGCACAGTTCATGGCTAGTGTATTATAAAGATTACACAGTCTGTAAGAAGATTAGCCTTGGGGTTCTTTTCTGATGGCTCTTCCTCATAAACAGAAGTAAACACACTCAATCCTGATCAGTGTCTAAGTCTGTTTTTTATTGTGCTTCAGCTTTAAAAGATGAAGAAAACAAGACCTCAAGTGATTAAGGAAATGAAGGTGTCTCAAATGCTAATTAAACTAAAAATATGTGGACCCCCATGAGTATAGGTTATTTGTTCAACTGATGTACTCAGTTTATATTAACAAACAAATGCCATATGAATAGAACTAATGATTTTGTGTACGTTGGTACTTACATAAACTAGGTTCTGTGTTAGGGAGTCTTTCACTGTGATTAAAAAATGTGGAGGGTTATAGCTGCGTTTGCATAACTTATGTGTGGATTTTTCAATATCAGACTATCCTATGCAAGGGACCCTTAAATCCAGAACAGATCACCATGTACTTAACCAGTTTTGTTACCATTAAATGGATTCTTTTAAGAGTGCCAAGTTATGTTTTATTTTCCTCAGTGAAGGTGCAGCTCATTTAAGCTTTATAAATCATCATTTCCTTTGCACCCAGAAGCACAAAGCAACACAGGAACCCTGCGTTATTCGCTGCCCTTTCAAATGCTTACAAATTGTGAATTTAATGCTCATATACAATAATGCAGATGTGGCCTAACTTAATTGGAGCTTTTAAACTTTTTAGAAAAGTTTTTTTCCCCAGAAATGCTTGTATGTTTTATTTCATTTTGTACCTTTTCCTATAGGCTGGGGGTGGCTCCACAGCCATTTGTAGCGTCTGTCCCTCACTGCTCAACTTACTTCTTTTTTTTTTTTTTTAATAATTTTTATTGGGTTTTCACATTTTATAAAGACAAAAACAAAACACATAACACCAAAACAAACATAAAAAAAAACAACAACAGCAAACATGAATAGTTCCAAAAAGCCTTATTTTCTAACCCTAGTCCTTGACTTCCCCCCACCCCCTCCCTTGCATCCCTGTTCCCAGGTTTATGTCAGCAAGTTAGCATTTCTTCCTTCTTAATATTAGTCCTTTTATAGAAACAAAAAATAAGTTTTCCCTAAGTTGGACCCCAATTCTCTTCCCTCGATTTCTCATTTTTTCTTAAGTAATTTCCTTATTACTAAACCCCTGGTCTTGAGTGTTATTTAAGTTTATGCTTCCCTCCCTCCCATCCCCGCTTTGCGTCCTTTCCCAAGACATGTCCAAAATAACAGTTTTTAGCCTGGATTCCGCACATCCGAGGCTCTCAAATCTATTTCAGTCCCTCTCCGCCGGTTTTGTTGGTAGTCCTCTTTGTCAGTCATCGAGTCTCGAAAGATTTCATTAACATTCAATCCAATCAGTCCATAGTCTCTTCCCATATTTATAAGCAACTGCTGAGGAATTTCCACAAGTCCTGAGTCTTGGTGATGGTCAAAATCAAAGTCTATGTGGAGGCCCCAATTGTACTTCTTTATTTCGAGTTCCTGAGTTCCATAAACTCCCAGGGCCTCCACTTTCATCTTCTGTATCTTTCGTAGGCTTGGAATAGATTCCATCCAATAGTCTCCTTGTTTGTATTCTCCAAATATCGGCTTCTGGTTAGTATTTTCCCACATGACTTGTTCTCTTTCTTGTTTTGTCTTCTCCTCTTCTTTGTTTATTATTTCAAATTCAGCTGTGGGTTCTTTCTCATTCAAGTCCTCATTACATTCAGCAGAGCTACTTGTTTCCAAATCCAAGGCCGTCAGTTGTTTACTCATAGCTGTAGTCTGCTCCTGTAAGGTTCCCACCAGTGAAAACATCCTTTCGATTTCTCTCAGTATCTTTCCACCCACAGCCATTGTAATTCCACAGAATTCCCCCTAGAGGGAATCTGGTTACTGGATGATCTTTTCTCCAACAATCCTCTGTCCTATTATTGTTTCTTTGTTTCCCAAAATTTTAGTTCAATTGTAACTCCTTTTTATCCGGAGAGGTCTTAAGTAGCAATTTTTTTCAGTATTAACAGTCCATTTGACAGCTTTGACAGCTGTCAAATTCTGCTCCTCTATACAGGCTCCAAAGCAGATCGCTCCCGGGCTCGGGAGGGAGGGTTGTTTACCACAAAAAGAAAACTCTTCCAACACTCCACTCTCCTGCTTAAATTTGCTTTTCCAAATCTTGGAAGTTACTGTCTTTTTTAAAACTCACCCTTTGCAGGGTAGGCACTCCAGCTTAGCTCTTATATCGTTGCTCTGGATCGTCTGCAAGGGGGGGGGATGGGGACTTCCTTTTGGCACACCCCCCCGGTCGTCTCAAATTCAAAAGGTAAAAGTTTTTAAAGCTCAGTTCCAAATTACTCACGGGTTCTTTTTTTTTCAGTCCGAATTTCAAGGAAGGAAGTCAGCGCTCTCCAGTTATGGCTCGCGGCTTCGCTCAGCGGCGGTAGCGATCGACTCTCAGTGCCGCGCCGTCCCCCGTATCCCCTCCATAGCCTTTAAAAAGGCTCTTCGCGAATCAGGGGGGGCGCTTAAGGCACCCGCCGAGTCTTCAGTCCGCAGGCATCTGCACCTGCGGTTTTTAAGGGTCCCCGTGTCGCCGGCACGGCAAAGACCCATCCACCGCTGAGCCGATTCCCTCCGGAGCTCGGAGGGAATCCGCCATTCCCGGATCGCGCCAACCCGGAAGTCCCACTGCTCAACTTACTTCTTTCCCACACTAACCTTAACCCTCCTTATGTGCAAAATATTCATATAGCAAATAAGCAATTATACCCGAGGGCTAAAACTTGCTAATTTTCTGGACTTCTCAAAATGGTTTAATATTTTACTATTACTTATGATAGCATAATGTAGGGATAATGCTGAAGTCTTGTGGGAGGACAGACCTTCCAACAAGCTCAGCAACAAGATGAGAACCACAAATCATTGGCTCTCTATTTAGCTGTAGAGGTTTTATCTCACTGCCGTGGGTCCTATAACTTCCCCCCAAATGGCATTCTGAAATACCTTCAGATTCCTTTCATCAACTGATGATGCAAATAGTTTAAAATTCAGTTTGCTTTGCCAGCATTTATTTTCTTACGTTAGGACGGCAGTGAAATATTTTGTTGGAAAATAATCTCCCTGTTTCATGTTTGAAACTGTAGTATGAATGGCCCTATTCTTACAAGAGAGTTGCTGTTGTTTTTGGCAGCTTGCTGGACTGGAAGCTTGCAATGTTGGCAGTGCCAAGATCTAGACAATCATGCTGGCACTGAAGGGAGCAATTAATTTCTAAATGCACAGGCATTCCAGTTTCTTGAGTTTCTGGAATGTAGGGAACAATGCAACTTCATTAGTGATTTTTTTAAAAAATGGTATTTTGTAAGATAGATACTGAGCAATAGGTGGAAAAAAGTAGCTTGAAAACATGACTAAACTCCATAAACACACCCACAGCTGTAGAAGCACCTCAGAACGACTCTGCTGCTCCTGGGACCAAGTCAGCTCTTCTGAGTCCTGCTTTCTCTCTGGAACCCTTTGTGGTTGAGTTCACTTTTAAGGGCATTCCACAGGAGAGGGGGGAATTGTTCTATTGAAATCCAACTCTTGGAAGATTAAATACAACAACAGACAGATTAAATAATCTGGATTTTGCTCAGCAACCATTGTGTCTACAAATCACTATAATTCTGGTAGGAAGGCAGAAAGAAACCAGAGAGGTAAAAAGAATATTGCCTCTCCCCATTTGGACATCAACAAGGAAGAGGGAAGAGAAGAGGAGGGAGCTAATTTGGATAAAATAGTATCTTAACAGGAAATGGATTTTTAATGTGGAGGTAAAATTGGAAAATTACTTTTTGCTACAAGCATTTACAAAGTTTATGCGAATCAAAAATCCCCCCCTCCGGCTCCAATACCTTTTATTTTGTTTATTTATCAATATTTTATCCCACCTTTACTCCCAAGGAGCTCAAGGCAGCATATGCAGTTCTTTCTCCCTATTTTATCCTCACAACAACCCTTAGGTAGGTTAGCCTGAGAGACTGTGACTGGCCCAAGATCACCCAGTGAGTTTCATGGCTGAGAAAGGATTTAACCCTGGTCTCCCAGGTTCAAGACTCTAACCACTATACCACACTCAGTCTCTGTGTTTCCCTTTTTATCCCCGTTGTATACTTGCACTGATAAGCATGTGTTAATGAACACGTACACCTCCGATTTGGCTCTGGTTTCTTAATACAGTGTGTGTTCCAAAACATTAGCAAGCAGACCTTGTTCCTAGTCAGAGCTTTTGCAAAATGCTCCAAATTATGTATACTGCAGTTGAAACCACACGTCTCTGATTGCACAGGCTTTTCTCCAGTACACTATATTCAGTCCTGCTTGTCTGTTTGAAGCATAATTATTTACAGGTTTTGGTTTTGTGACCCCCGTTTGTGTGTCCTCTGTGCTGCTCCCGGTGGCTATTAATCTACCTAGATTCTCCCTAGAGAGATGCTGCTAATTAATGCACCTCTGTCACTTTGTAGCAGGAGGTGGTGAAGCTGACAGAGAAATGTCTCAACAATGCCATTGAGAGCCCAGTGAGTGCCTCTGTGCGGCTGCCTCCAGACATCAAGAGCAACATTCTGAAGGCCCAGGCCGAGGCAGTGAACAAGGTAAGTGCTGTAATCCAAGCGTTTGCCATTGTGATCAGTAAGTGCACATTTCTGCAGTATTTTCTTTGAGTGACTTAGATCTTTCTAATATTCCTTGTGCCTAGTATGTAAATATTTTTTGTGGCTCCAGTTTTTGGAAGGCTAAGAAAATCCTGCGGGTGAAACTAATCTCTGTCATCTTATGCCCTCCCAATTTCTGTCTGCGGCTCTCATAGAATATTGATGAGTAGAGCTTTCCATTGTAGATGGCGTGCAGACTTTTTCTCAGCAAGTGGTGGCTTTTTTTTATTTAGCGTGAGAGAACCATCCTTTGGCCCCTCACACCTTTCCACTTGGTAGTGTAGTATTTTTCTTCTTTGCTGCTCCCCTCCATTCTAAAAGTCTTGCAAAATCTGCAGGTTGGAAGATTTGCTCTTGCTTATTCTTTTGCATCTTATTATTTTCCCTCTTGATAAAAAATACCCTCGCAGAATAAAATGTCCATCTGATCTATGGCCTTCACCCGGCTGTACTTTGCTTTGGGGCAGAAAGATGTAATTACTGATAACAAAAAGAGCTGTGGAATACCTTTCTTTATTAAATAAACATTTTGACTGGAGTTGATGATGCACATTTGCTGTAGTTACAATGTTAAATGTTAAAATTTAACATTTCCTGAAAATCTGATGGTTCAAGCTCTCTGTCCCCTTGTCATAATTGGACCTTATATGTCACAGATGCTGCCACATAAAAAGTTGCTGCATTCTCTAATTCTCATTTCCAAAGCTGTCAGTTTAATATTACTCAGGAAATTATATTAAACAGGCGCATTGTAGGATTCAGAGCCCAACTTGACTTTCAGATCACAAGTGATTGAATACGAATAAGTACTTGGGGGTCATACCTGATGTGCTCATGCTATACAGAAGCATCAAAGTAAGATATCTCTGAATGCTAAGCAGGCTACAAGATTCAGTATGGTTTCTATCTCAGTATCCCGTTCTGTGCAGCCTGGCTCCTTGCTGGTTTTGAAAGTGTAATAGTAATACTTTTGTTATTCAGGGCATTTGGAGATAGCTATGGGGAGTGAGTGATTTGTATCTGCCTGTTTTTGATGCAACTATTTTGACCTTGCTGCGTGGTTGGTGTTTTGTTTTTGTTTTGTTTTTCGTCTTTCTTACTTTTATTGTGGAGCTTAGTATTATACTTATTTTGTATTGTAAACCACTTTTGTCTGTGTAGATTTTATTGCATTAGCCGTGTGGCCATAGCATGATATACATAGAAACCCTTTAGAAATATACCTTTAGAAACCCTAATAAGATGCAAAGGTGGTGTTTAAATTTTAAAATAAATATGTAATGGGACATGTTGCCCATGTAAAATGGGACTGTTTCAGTTCTGATCATTAGAACTCTATTCTGTTTCCTTTTCACAGTAAGCATGTAGCCTGTCCTTGACCTGTTGCAGAGGAACTGCCTCGCTATTTATAAAATCATAAATCTCTGCAAAACTCTCAGTTTCTGAAGTGTTCTGTTATGTCTCTTTTCTTTCAGGTCATGAGGGAGGACAGCATGTCTGGCAACAAGAACACCAACCTTCAAGATGCTGCTGGCAGGTATAGGCACTGAGGGTGAATTGTGCTGAGGGATTCAGCTATAACTGCGCTCATGGCAGTGTGGGCAGTTACTCTGTGAATCAAGAAGCCACATGGGAAAGGTTCCCATAAAATTGGAATTAGCTGGTAGTTTAGAAATACTACTATTTCTGTTGTTATCATGAATGCTTAATATACAAGTAGGCTTGACTGCTTGTCCCTTGAATTCATGAACCCAATGAAAGTGCTTAGCCCTTTAAAGAGAGGGAGAGAGGGAGATTACTTTTCCTCATTACTAGATTGGGAACCTGAGAGAGGGAGGATATCACCACCTGGCCTGCAGATCAAATGCAAGTATATGGAGGGTAGAGGAATTCCCATGGCTTAGTGTCACTTCTTGGCCGCCCTTCTGAGAGAGGCAGAAAAGGAATTAGTTTCAGTGCACTGTGTGTGTGATGTAAATGCCATGGGAAGTCCTGGCACCAGCAACTCTTGGCTTCCCGCAGGCTAAGGATTTGGAAAGATTTTTGTCTGCTAAATTGGTACTAGATTGGGTGCATAAGATGGAAAGAGAGGTGGAATTCTGCAATTCTCTAATCTTGCACAGCTCCAGTGTAGAATTCAGTATCCTGAGAATATTCACTTTAGTTTTAAAATACTCTTTTTCTATCCACTCAGGCTGTGGGGATCTGTTTGAATGCATGTGGGCAATTATATGAGTGTGGCATTTTTATTCCACCTTGCATAGAAAGCTGCCTTATACCAAAACACAGTGTTTTCCTGTCTAGCCTAGTATTACCTATTGTGATTTTACAGCAGCTGTCCAGGTTGTCAGGCTGAGATACCTCCCCTGCTATTGGATTCTTCTAGCTGGAGATGTCAGGAATTCAACCAGAAATCACCTCTATGTGCTCCCACCACTGAGCTGTAGTTTCTCTAAGATGTTCAGGGTGGTGCTACCTTTATTGTCAGAACAATCCTCTGAGGCAGGCTAAGCCAAGCATGTGTGACTGGCCCAGGGCCACACAGGAAGCTTCGTCACTAAGAGGAGATGTGAGCTTGGTTTTCCCTGGTCATAACTGAATGCTGCTCAACTCTGCTATACGTATAGCTCTCGCGAATGTGTACTCTTTCCCTCTGTTGTCTAGCAGAAGCGTAAAAAATTACACAAAATAAATTTGTTCCTGGTATATCTATCTATATACAGTCAATTTTATTTCATTTGCCCAGACTTACTTCTCCCTACTTCTAGCAGAATTATGCTTTTTTATACATTGCACTAAAGCCTTGGGCACATGGTTGAAAATAGCCTAAAGCAGTGTTTCCCAAACTTGGGTCTCCAGCTGCTTTTAGACTACAACTCCCATCATCCCCGACCACTGGTCCTGCCTAGCTAGGAATGTTGGGAGTTGTAGTCCCAACAACAGCTGGAGACCCAAGTTTGAGAAGCACCTTGGCTTTTTATTGCTAATGCAAAGGTTTGTTCACTGGAGAATAGTGGCAAAGGTGGTATGATTTATATATATATGAGATCTTAGAATTCCTATGACATGCTCATAGTCAAACTTTTGGGTCTGGTTTGTTCAGGAGCATTCTTCTGTCTGGAAAAGTTCAGAACAGCCCTCTGAGAGCCCACAGCCCCGTGTTCCAGGAGTCGAGAGAGAGGCTGAAAGTGATTCCTATCTCCAATGCCTTCATTCCGTAAGTCCTCTGGGAGGGAGTATTCTTAAGGCAGGGAAACAGCAGGAAGATTGCATAGAGATTAAGTCTAGGAAAGAATAAAACAGCTCAGCATTTGAGTGGCTCACTCAGTTAATCCTAGCAATTTCTAGCCAGGTTAGTCATTTTGCTTGTCTGCCAGAAATCCAGGAACAATTAGTATAGTTTATTCACAGTCTAAACAATCAATACCAGAGGAACAGAACTCAACCTCTTAGTGGAGTGCTTCCTCTTGGACACTGTTGCTGTCCATTCAGCCCCGTAACAGTGTTACCATCCTATTTATAACACAAAATCAATACGAGAAATAATTTTTAAAGGCATTATAAATTCGGTTTTGCATTTCTTCACAGCCTTTCCGGTTGTGGCACCCATAATTTGGAGCAACCTTCCATCACTGTATGCTTTAAGAAAAGCAATGAAAATAGTTTTATTTCTGTGAGTTTTTAATTGTTCTTTTTCATGGATTCCACCACATCTACTGCTCTGAAATTTGATTGTAGCTGCTCCTGGATTTTTGTTTATTAGCCACCTTTATGCAGAAAAGTGGATAAAAAGCCTTAGGAATAAAATAAAATCTTAAGCTCCCTTAGCTTTCTGAAGAGGACCAGTGTTGTTTCAGCTGTAGCCCTGCACTACTTAGTAAAGGGCAATATCTAAAGATAAAAGATTGTGGTGGTGTGCTTCAGGGCATATTAGAATTGCTTCATTCTAGCTGCATCATTGCTTACTTCCATGGAAACCAATATGCTAATGAAGAGTCTTCGTATCTTTACTAATTGAGTTCTCTCATACATTCACTGAATACTCTTCTCATGGCTTATGGTTGGAATTATAACCAACTCTGCTGTGCCCCTAATTTGCTCATTTTTTTTGTTTTGTTTCTAAACCATTAGTCCTTTATTTAATAACATGGTCCTTGCTGAGTTTGCAAAAGGCAAAGGGTTCCTCTCTGTCCTCCCCTTCCTCCTGCCTTTTTACTGAGTAATACAAATTTTTATACCCTGTAAACCCAAAGAACGGTCACATCTGAGGTTTCACTGCTGGGAGGAATAGGATCAAGGAATCATTTGCGCATAAGAAGGAATGAAATGATTGAATGCATGAGAATGTAAAAATACAATATCAGTTAAGACAGTTGTATGAAACCATGGTGATTATCAGTCTTTTCATGACTTCATATGTTAAATAGATCTCTGAAAGCATTGTTGCCATATAGATTGTCCTTTTTGCATGTGCCTGAGAGTGGACAGAGCTTTTGGCATCCACTTATCTGGCCATTACTTGGATTCCTGTAAAGGAGCGTGTGCTGAATACTCTGGAATAATGTCTTTTTGCAGCCATCTGTCCGCAGCACAATGCATTTTAGGGGGCTTGCCTGAGGCAGCAGGTGCTAAGATGCTGTCGTTCACATGACAAAAGACTTCAAAGGCACCCTTTGCTCCCAGGCAATAATCTTTTCTTTGCCATGAGGCACAGTGATCATTTGTCATGTCTTCAGATTGTTTGTGAAGAGCAACACTGGTTATTTTGCACATGCTGTGCATGATGGTGGACATGTTTTCATCTTGCAGGAATGAATTAAATGAGGATAATGCTGCCTCTAGCCCTGAGGATTCTTTGAGTCCTCCTAATCTGGCTCCTACAGAGGAGGCTGCTATTGTAAAGGTATGTTGTATCTTTGTGGGGACTAGTGGGTTTTCCTGCATGAGTCAGTTACAAGCAGCACAGAAGAGTAGGGGCTGCACGCAAAACACTTAGTTGTGCATTGAAACATGCAGCAACACTCCTTTTCTAACTGCAGCATTTCTTGATCCACCCAGAGACTTTGGCTTTGTTCAGGTATACCATTAAGCCATAGCTAAACATTACTGTGTTTATGAACTGTATGCACTCCCCTTCTCGTCTCTTATTCAGGGAAAGCCACAAGAAGATTGGGTGCGTCTACTTCTGTTTCTACCTAACTCCAGTTTATTATGTATGAACTCCGGGACAAACCATGGTTCGTGTTATCTGTGGTTTATTGAAACAAGTCAACTTCAGATTGTAGCAATTTTGACTTACTTCTTTCAGTAAACCACAGCGCTAATCATCGAACTTCCAATCTCCTCCTCTTGGCTGTGTCAAGGGAAGAGGGTTCAAGCCCAAGGCTCATGCAAGAAACTCATAAGAACATAAGAAGAGCCTGCTGGATCAGACCAAAGTCCCATCTAGTCCTGCATTCTGTTCTTACAGTGGCCACCCATATGTGTATCAGCAGCCCACAAGCAGGAACGGAGCACAACAGCACTCTCCACACTTGCAATCCCCAGCAAAGAGAGGCATATTGTATTCTGACAGTGGAGGTGGAAACAATAGCTATTGTGGCTATTAACCATTGGTACCTTTATCCATTGATTTGCCAAATCATTTTAAGCAGATTCCATAGTTTAGCTGTGCACTGCGTGATTAAAATTATGGACAAACTAGGATTTTGAAAGCTTTCCACAAAAGTCACTATTCTCTCAAAGTGAAGAGCTTGTGTATAGGAAGCCTTCTTTACATGTGGTTTGAGCCTCCCATTGCATGCAGTTTAGGGTAGCAGCAGTGGGATTCTTTGCTACTGTATTTTATTGTTTTAGTGGCTTAATGAAAAGCGTATTCTTGTATACCAAACCAACATATAAGAGGAAAAGATTCACAAACTACATCCTCACAACTTACAGCTTTTTCAAAAGTGGATGAGATAGTGGGGCGGGGGGAACCAGCAGTTCCACCCGGTGACAGATTGTAATTTAATTAACTTGTGTTTTGTAGAACTCTCCAGAGGACTTAGAGATTTTGTTAACATCACAGGCAGAGAATCTAATTGACTTTACAGAAGCCATGCCTCGGGTAAGAGTGGAAATTAAATGGAACTCAATGATTTCATTGTGCTGTTGATAATTTTAGAAGGAAAACATGATTGATTTATGCTTCCATCATTTGCACACAAGGCATCTGTAGTTCCAGTTGATACTTGTCTAAGCTGGTTTCTCATGTAATAATTCTCTTCTAAGTGAGCCTTTGGGCTAGTTGAGTTACATTAGAATCCTGTACTACATGTGCATGCAAGCAAAATTCTGGACTGTCTGCAAGTCCTGCCTAGGCAGTAATTTTTTTTCTGCCCATGACCCTCCTTTCTTACTGGTATCTTTAAAACCTTCCTTTGTGCCAAACAAGTATCTGACAGAACAAAATGTCTACACGTGGTGAATGTAAAGAGAGCCATTGAGAATTACATTACATGTAAACCAATGGAAGGAATGAGCCCCACTGCAGCTGGGTGGTTTTGGAATAATTTTCTGATATGAGCTTGCTTCATTTTAAGAAATCTGGTACAACTATTCTGTGATTAGTACTTAGAGTAGAACCCACTCTCCTGATTCTCTGTGAGTGAAGAAACAAGCCATCTGTCTGCTCTCTTGGCTTCCCTGGGCTCCTTTGGAGAATAGGGTGCCACCATTCATTCATTCATTCATTTCATTTTCTGCCAGGGATTTAAGGCCATGGTTAGTCTCTTCAGCCTCAGTGATGTACAGAGAACACGGCTACCTCTTGGGATAGTCTTTCTTCTAGCCCTAGGCATTGTGAGGAGGGGGTACCAGTGATACTACCTGTGCTGCTGTTAGCTATGTGATCTCTTTGACGTAATGAGGTGATATAAGAGAGGGGAGAGCAGTGGAGAGCCTTAGGAGAGCAATAGACAAACACTTCCTATGTCTTTCTGTGTTTCTAAGATCATTTTTGCTTCTGGGTTTTAGGTGTCTTCACCACCAACAGTTTTGCCCAGGTGGTTGGTGCCAGTACGTATCTTCACTAATTCTTAAAAGTGATATATATGCTTTTATTTTTAAGCATGAATTCAGGTGATTGTTTTAAAAATAACTCATGTCTAACCAATAGTAACAGTAACTGAACAGTATATTTTAACCTGAATCGTGGAAGTCCCTTTTAAAAAAAGAAAAGGCTTTACTATGGTTCTGTGCAATAAATTTCTCAAAAAAGGTAAAGGTAAAGGGACCCCTGACCATTAGGTCCAGTCGTGACCGACTCTGGGGTTGCTCGCTCATCTCGCTTTATTGGCCGAGGGAGCCAGCGTACAGCTTCCAGGTCATGTGGCCAGCATGACTAAGCCGCTTCTGGCAAACCAGAGCAGCGCACGGAAACGCCGTTTACCTTCCCGCCAGAGCGGTACCTATTTATCTACTTGCACTTTGACATGCTTTCGAACTGCTAGGTTGGCAGGAGCTGGGACCGAGCAACGGGAGCTCACCCCGTCACGGGGATTCGAACTGCCGACCTTCTGATCGACAAGTCGTAGGCTCTGTGGTTTAACCTACAGCGCCACCCACATCCCTATTTATCCCAATAAATTTCTCAAAACCCATCACTTATATTGCATAGCACTGAAGAGTAAAAACTGCTTTTGCCATTCTCATTTCATCAGTGTTTCCTTTTAGTGTTTGTGACAGTTATGGTGCCTTGGGAGCCTAGCTCTACTCCAAAGCAGCTGTGCTGTCTCTATATTCAGGGTTTTCGTTCTAAAGTAGATGCTAGGGCAGTGGCAGGCAAGAGACAGTGACATTTCATCATCATGAAAGGACAACATCTGATGATATGGGCAGCTCCTCTTACTCATCTTCACAATGCTGTCTTCTTCAGTGACCAGAAATAACCCTTCCTGGCAAGTTCAGTATTTCCTTCCCCTGCCCTCCACCCTTGCAAATTGCCTCCCTGACTTTTGTCATCCAGAGTTTGGAAATAAGCCCAGCTGGGAAAACAAAAACAAGGTTGGGGCACTTAGCCTTCTTCCAGCCCATCGGTCCACCTCTATAAGCATCTGCCTGTAACTGCAGTATATTGACAAACACATTTTTGGGACCATGTATTTGAAGGAATACATGGACCAGGTTACTTTGTGTGACCTTACTGACCTTCCTTTGGTTTTCGTTCTGTAGAGTGGACTGGTTTCCAATGGGCCTTTAGGGAATGATGTTGCCTTAGCTCTTAAGGCAGTGAAAGGCAGCACTGAGGCACTGACCATCTCTGCTGGCTCCCCACCTCCACTTTACTCGCCCGAAATCATCCCCAGGTAAGTCTTTTCTCCTTGCCTCCTACATTGGGTCAAGGGAATGCTATGCTACTTGAATTCTAATTTGAATCTTACTTTATTCCATGTAGGGTGTTTTTTTGGGTTTTTTTACTAGTCCAGTTCTCCTATTAAGCACTGGGAAGCCCAATAAGATTTTGCAATTCGCTATTCTTTTACCAAGCGACTTTTACCAGTGGCTTTCTGTAAGTCTTTGGGGCTCAAATTTGTCAGTCTATGTAACTGCTGCTGCATTTCAAAGAAATGCATGTACTACTGGGGCATTTTGTCAGAAGTTAGCACTGTAGGCATTCCGCTTATCAGCATATGCACTTCAGTGCAGATACTAGTAAAGTTTTATCATTGTTGGCTGTATGTGGCAAAGATGATTCTACTAATAGCGGGCAGCTCTTAATTTGATCATTACAATATTTACCCTTGGTGTTTCCCATGTAAAATAACACTGCATTGGCTCCGATAGAGATGAATTACCTTACCTCGTTTGGAATTGTTCGCTCTCCCATCAGGTTATTGAATTGATTGGCTGAGTTCATTCAGTTGCAGGACCCCTCTTCTGAGTAGGACCCTCCCCTTAAATCTCCCACACAGATTGTGTGTTGCTTTCATTTCAGCCCTGCTGCAGAAGATGTTACAACAAGGCCGAAATGTTTACTTACCACTGAACTCTGAGCTTTGACAGAGTCTCATCTTCCTAGCATCTGCAACGTACTCCTGGAATGGACTTAACCTGGAATTGACCCATGCTCAGACCATGGTTAAAACAAAATGCCTGGCAGTTTTACTGTGGATTCATGCAACTGGAAATCTAGTATGAAGAGCTGCTGGGAAGCCTGAGCACCTTTTGTAAAGTACACTGGAACACATTCTGACGTGTAATGAAATCTGCAAGGTTTCCATCCATAGCAGTGCTTTTGTCTATAAAGCTCTTTGCTGCTTTAGGGGTGTAAATAAAGTCATCACTGTGATGAACGAGTTAGTAATGGGGAGGATAGGAACTTCTAAGGCCACCTGCTGGTTGTTGCTATAAAAAGCAAGTAGTGCTAATGGTGTTTTTATAGAGCAAGCTCTTCTTTCTTAACATCTCCTTTGAATCCTCTTTTGTACTGATATCTGTCAAATGTTCTTGGCCTTAATCCACTTTCTAGACTTTGCACTTTTGCTCACCATGTATGAAAGAAACTGAATATGCAGCACCTCTATAGGTTACCCAACTGGCAGGTTCCGCTCTCTCTAGTCACAGAGGCAAAGCAATTTTCTACCAAACACTTTTAGGCTACCATAGTGTGTGAGTGTAACTGTTCCACATTGTGTCCCATTCTCTGTAACATGTGTCTAAAATACTGCTAGAGTGTAAACTTCTGCTGCAGAAGAGCTTCAGAATGGAAAGGCATGTTCCCTTGCGGCTTTTCACTGGCTTCTGTTTGGAAAGTTCCTTCCAACAAAACTGAAAATTGTTTTAAGGTATGTTCTATGAACTTGTCAATAGCTGATTTCTGTACTATAAGTACAGACTAATTAGAATTACTGCCTTTTTCCTATGTTCCACTACAATTTTTTTTCTTCAAATGAGGTTGCAATTGGCAGGTTTTACATCTTGATTTTCTAGTCTTGTTCAGACACATTCCAGTAGTTCACCTATCTTCTTCAAATTAGACCAGTGACTGGACATTTAGTGAAAGAGTCTCCCTCAGTATATTGAAGTGCTAATAGTTTTGGACCAGTGGGGAAATCTTTTTCTACTACAAACTCAGGGAAATTGCTGTTCATTGGTGGAACTACGTGAATCCCAAGTTTAACTCATGCTTAGCATTTTTTTGTTTGTGGACCAATTTCTCCATGGGCATTGAGAGCGAACAATAAAACTTGGTAGGACACAGTTATTGGTTAGGACACGATTCTATTGTTAATGTTCAAAAAATAACTTTATTCTTTTGGTTTTCAAAAAAGACAAAAAATGTAGAAATGTGATCATCTTTATCTTCCCAAAATGGCTCTCAACTCACTGCCCAGTTGGAAGGGTAGGTTAAACGAATTGGAGCAAGTTCGCTTAAACTTGATTTAGTGTTGTATCTGTTTCAAGAAGACATTTTATGGTGCAAGAAACCTTCCTTGTTTTGGGGGTGGGTTGACACAGGCTAATGAACCAATACACTATGAACAGCTTGATCACCCTTCCCTTTCCCCATTCTTTACTTGTTAAATGCTGCTTCTGAAATAAGAGCAGTTGCAATGCTTTTTATCTGTAGCATTGTGAGGATCGAATTTCATTTTTAAAGTATGCTCTGAGTGTAGATTATCAGCAAACTGGAGAAGAAACTGCCTAAACCATTTCAAACAATCTGGAGGTAAAATCCAAATCACCTCATGAGTTTTATCAGTAATTTTAACAGAAGAGTGTATTTTAGATGCTACAGTACAGTAATTATTTTTAATATACCCCCGATTACAAGAGAGTGGAAGTAGAAGAAAGGTTAATAAGCGGTTTGCTATCTAGAATGTTAGTGAAACTTCCTTGAGTTTCCTAGATTGCAGGTATAGCTAGTTTCTAAAATGTTGCATGTTAGGGTTGTTAGAGAATGACTACTGAACAACAACAAAATTTGTGTTACTCTGTGTGATTTAGAGTCCTATGCAAGCCAAGCCAAAAACAAAGGAAAAATGGAGAGATGCTCAGATGTAAGAAATTGTTCTCATTTCCACTACTGTAATATTCTGAATTACTAGGAAGTCTTAGACTACAATATTGCTGACCACGATAGCTATCAAATGTATTTTTAAAAATATATAGCCAAAATTGATTATTCATTTGACTGATGGAGGAATACTGTGCAAGACACAGATCTCATGATCTATATTTATATTTTATTTAATGGTGAGCCTACATGACTTGCAAAGTAGACAGTCTTTTTCCTAGAAACAAATGCCTATTCCTGTTCACAGTAAGAAACTGGGTATGGTATATAGCCCCTGTTATTGCCATGCAGTTCATGATGAGATGTCATCAGTATTCAATGGTTGCGTTGTACAAAAGAAATAATGCTTATTGTGTCATGCAAACACTGTCATATGAAAGGTACAGTTATCACAGAGGGAACTCAGTCTTTCATAAATGCAATATGTGTTAGTGGAGGTGAGCAGTAAAGTTGCTCGCCTGAACATTTGCCTATAAGACACTGGCTTTAGGGGTTAATTAAGGTTGACGGCATATTTGCAGATTACTGTTACCTGATGTTAGAAGGATTGTGCTGGTTGAGAGCAACCACCATATTGAGAAATGCTTGGAAAGTAGCTTTTGTTCTGCCTATTGCAGGGGTGTGGAACCTGGTGCCCTTTAGATGTTGCTGGACTACAAATGGAGTTGGAGACATCTGAAGAGCCACAAATTCCCCAGCCCTGGCCCAATGCATGCAGAATTGCACTTTTGTTTACAGCAACTGATCATAAACTAGTTCATGGGCTGACCATGCTTAGAGTTCATACATTTACCAAATGGCAATTCTATCTACATGCTAAAGGAATAAGTGCCAGCCTTGGCCTCCAGCTCCCCAAACCAGTAATGTGTGAAGCAACAGCTTTAGATGGAGTCCTATACATGTGTAAAGCCAATGGAGAATCATGCCTCTGTGTAGAGTCTGTAGACCACACATCTTGTATGTTACAGTACATGCACAGTAGATTTTGTAAGGAGGCTCACGCCTATCTATCTATCTATCTATCTATCTATCTATCTGGTGAGCTAGACATTGTGTTTCATTAGTGATTATGGCTGTTTTCTTCTCTGGTGCAAACACTGAATATCAACAGTCATCCTCCTGGAGCAAAATGTTCAACTTTTTTCTTACTGTGAAATTGATGGCCCTGGGGGAGGTATGGCATTCCGCATGCATCAGAGAATAGGGAGCATTCTACTGCAGCACCCCCAGCAGAAAGGTTTGGTGACTGATTTGTTTATCCTCTTACTTCCCTCAACTGGACAATCTTACTTTAAAGTATGTAAGATTTATTATTTTGAGTTAGAGTATTTTGTTTGTTTTTAAAAAATCACACCCACTAACTGCTGTATTTGTAATTCTTTTTAAATGATGTAGAGCTTGACACTAGCTCTGAGTATAACTTATTTGTTTTTTTAAGTATTATATATAAGGAACACTGTGTTTCATGGTAACATATATAAACTGTGCTACAGTAACTGCACTGAACTGAACATCTGTATATGGGAACTGTGATTTGTAGTCCACTTGGAATCAGTCACAAACTGTTGTAGTTTATTTCTAAATATAACACAACTGTGCAAAATGACTGCCTCTATCTGTTTTTCTTTTACAATAATTTTGCAATGTGCAAACAATCTGCTTCATTCCTGCATTTTTGCCTGTCCCTAGCAGCCCCCCTTATCTTGGGTGAAGTTCTGTGTTTCTCATACAGAACTGACAACACACTATTTTCTGCTGACCTCTCATATGAATGATAGCAAGTAATAGTTGCACCCAAGGAGAGAAGTTCAGTCTTAAGATTTCTACCCACAATTTTGTCTGGAAAGTGAATTAATTGACTTGCTGACCTAGAATTAGGCCTTAAATTTTATTCCAGAATCCAAATTGCTTCTTAGATCAACAAATTTGACCTCCACTTCATTCTAAGTGGGTACACTGATTCTTAAAAGTGTTTTTACACAATTGCTACAGGCAAAGTGCCACATTAAGTCTAAATCAAATGGTGACTAATAACCAGCCATATTGCCAACAATTTAATAATATATGCTTTTGTAATTATTGTCCAACTTTAAATCCTTCATCAATCATGCATTGCTTCTCAGATACAAACAGCATACATACAAAAATGATGCTTATATAGTTTAATCACAAAAACATAGTAATATAATTTTATGTAGTTTTATCACAAAAAATAAATGTCAAAGTCTAAAAATATAAAAATAAGATCACTTATAAAGCTCACCATGTGCTGTTTAGTGGCAGCTAAACTTTTAAAGACAATTTGAAGAGCAGCACTTCTGAAACTGATAAGGCATACGGCAAGCTTTTACAATAGCTGTGTACTTTGTAACCTTGTTTTCTGGCAAATGTCAGGAAAGGTTAACTTCAAGGGACCATTTTCCATCTCTGATTGAGCACAGCAAATTTCAAGATTCACCAGTGGGAATGGCCAAACAAAAAATATCCTTCCTTGGGGACCAGCAAAGTACTGTGATAGTCGCAAACAAGCACCAGAATTGGTTTTCAGCATAATATTAAGTTTCTATAGAATCATAGAATTGTAGAGTTGGAAGGGACCACAAGGGTCATGCAGTCCAACCCCTTGCAATGCAGGAATATATTCCCCAGTGTGGGGCTCAAACCCATGACCCTGAGATTAAGAGGCGCATGCAGCCCCAGCTGTGGCATGCACATACCCCTTCTGCAATTAGTTTTGAAAAAAAGCTAGGGGGAGATTATCTCGTTTCCCCACTTAAACTCCAGGTAGATCACATCTTCCAATAGACTGGCAAAAAGGGGGGGACACCCTCCCCCCATCCAAAGCCTAGCTACTGGGGAAGGATGGAGTGAGTGTATGCACATCTGTGCACTCCGCCTTCCCTGGCTTAGGGAGAAGCCTGCTTGCCTTAACATATCTTAACTACAGGGGAATTAACTTAATTTTGGTTCTTTTTCTAGGGGTCTAAAATTAATTAGCAGGGCCACTTTATATAGAGATGATGGGGTGATGTAGATTCAAGTGGTATGGCAAAGCAGCTAAGAACTAAGTTGTCCACTGGTTTCAACATACCCTTGTGTACACCTAGGTAAGACAGAATCTTTTACCAGCACTCCTGTCTGCAACTTTGGGATAACAACTCTGATCCTACCTTACAGGGTTGCTGTAAGGATTAAGAAGGTAACCTAAGAAGGGCTTTAAACACTCTAAAGCAGTGCTTCCAAAACATTTTCTCATGGACCACTTGAAGGTTGCTGAGAGTCTTGGTAGACTGATTAAGGATTTTTGTGCTGTTGTAGCAATGTAATTTGCTAGGCTGGCTGCAGTATGATTTTTAATTGTATTTTTATTGTTCCTTTTGTTTTCTGTATATTGTATTCCAATTCATATGCCATAGATTTCAAATTGTAATTCAGTAAGAATACAATATAAGGCATAAAAAACAATTAAAAATCAACACGACTATTGATGTTCTATCTTCAACTATAAATCCAGAGCCATGTTGCAGACCACCATGGGCCACAATTTGAGCAGCTCTGCTCTATATAAATAAAATAATTAACTGTAGGGACAAGCAGCAGGTTTACTGGACGCTTTTTCTGCATTCACAATGAAGCTGCTTAATCCAAGCATGCAGGCCCAAACCAATGCATTGAAAATAGCAGCATGGTTTGTTTCCCTGAGTGAGTGGCTCCATGAAGTGGTAACGCTGTCATTCTCAAATACTTAAATACTTCATATTCACATGACATTTTGGTTTCATGACAAAATGGGTAAAATACAACAGGGTGTATTTTTGTTCTCCCTCCTTAGTATGTGTATATGCGCCATTTACATTTTGTCTAGCTCCATTTGCCAAAATGAAATTGAAGAGGAACTTGACAAAGGTTTACCTCCAATAAGCAGCAGCACAGCAGAAGACTCACTAATGTCCATGGAGGCAGAAGACTCACGAATGTCCACAGCGGCACGTGTCAGGTCAATGAAGCTTGCATTTTCCTCTGTAAAGTCAAGAGTGGCAAACTCCTGTTCTCTTGGTAGGTTTAGGTTGGATGTTCTCTCTGTCTCGGACAATACGCATGCTTTCTCATTTGCACTCAGTTCTGAACTCGAAGTGGTTTGGCGTGAGCAAAATCCTGGCTCCTCCCGAGACAGGTAAAAGGTTTTCATTTCAATTTCAGTGCTACCGTCATTGCTGAATGTTTGGTATGAGGGCTCCTGGTGAATATACTCACAGAAACAGGCATGCTGCTTAGAGATGGCCAGTAGCTTTGAACAACCCATTTCCTTTTGATGCAAATAGCTGAGTGACTTGCTTGAAGAACCAGCAATCCCTTGGAAGCCATATCCAATCCCCAACATGCAGTGAAAAGCTTTGGATGAAGGTTCTGTTGTCCTAGCCAGTTGTTTCCACATCTGAGATGGGAAATGGTATTTCCACAGAATACTACTTGGCCTGGTATTAGAAATTCCTCCGCCATAGAGCAGCATGGAATCTTCAAATATTAAAGCTGAGTGTCCCACCACTTTAGGAGGCCCGTGACTAAACACAAGCACAACAGAGAACAAGGAACACAGATCAGTAATGTTTATGCTGATGAAAATGAGGTAGGATTTTAGTTTCCATTTGGTCAGCACTATACAGCATCATTAATTACATAAGATAAAGGGAACTGCACTGAATGAAGGTATCTGAATGTATAATGCTCCCTAAATCGGCTGTTACGGATCATTATGCAATAATTCTTGGTCAGCCCAAGTTGAATATACTTTCTTTTAAAAAGTACAAACATTTGTGAAACTGCCCTAATTTTAAAAAGGTACCTCCTCAAAAAGTTTCGGCCTCATTCTGACAGAAATGTGTGGCTCAGTATATAAATGTAATCCTCCCTTATCACAGCATTGTGCCAGTAGTTTTGCAGCCTCTTCCAGAACAGGAGACCTTGCCCAAGAAATGCATTAGAAATGCCTTCTGCTTTTCAATAGCGTTCTTTGGATCACAGAGAATGTGACTAGAAGGATGTGAACATGTGCATTATTAAAGCATGAGTTCAACAGCTTATAAGCAGAGGTGGGGAACTTTTGACCCTCTGGATTTTGCTAGACTACAACTCCCACCATCCCCAATGAACTGGACACACTAGATGGGGCTGATGGGGGTTGGGAGACCCACAACATCCAGAGCACCACACATTCCATACCCCCACGTTAGAAAGGTAACCAACTTGCTGTTCCACAAAGTACAAATGCAGCATAATCCTCATCCCTCAGAGGCAGCCGTCATAGCTGCCTAGCTCCCTGAGACACACATATTTTTAACCTTTCTAATTTTGGGTAGTTTTATCTACTCCATTCTCAAACCACAGCTTGCTGAAACTGCTGGTGAATAGCTCTCAAATGATGTTACCTTGTTCTGATACTAGACCAGTTGGCAGCCATGAAATCCCACTTCCAGAAGTCTTTTTGTTCACTCAGACCCATCAGCCCTCCAAACAAGTACATGTTGTTGCCATGAACCACAGCTGAGTGGCCATGTCGAGGACCTGGGCTACCACCGTAAGATACAGCTGGTGTCCACTGTTTTTTATCTGAAGGAAGAATATTACAGTCCATTTCTGTTTCAGCATAGGGGCAGGGAACCTTGTTCAGCCTACCATCTACATTCCCTTCTGGGGCTTGCATGCCAGTGGGGTAGGACCAGAGACAAAAATCAACAGATGTTACTAAAGGCTGTGCACAGTTCCCCAGATCCAAATCATTTCAGGTGGTGAGCTGATGTTTAATAAGGGTTTGCAAAAACCTAACTAAACATACAGTTGGAAGGGGAGCAGGGGAAGAAGCTGTGTCTTGTCCCCTTTCTCAATGGAGAGCAGGAGGGTTTAATCCTGCAAAGTACTCCTTCACAAGTGCCTTTACAACAGGAATACAAAGTTAAGAGGTTCCTACATATACGCCATCCTCCTTCAAGGCATGCAAATGACATCCGAGTTGCCGTTACACATTCCAGACAGGCATAAGCATTTGAGGAGGGCATGCGTGGAACAGGGCTCTTAGAGGTGTGGCCTGGGAAGAATCTAGAGGACCAGGTAGAGAGGCTTGAAAGGTCATATTTGGTCCATAAGCTTGAAGTTCCTCCATTCCTGGTTTAATTCAATACCCAGATAAACATGGAGCCGAAGCCAGCTATAGGATTGCATTTTCATTCTAGATGTTTCAAAAGGGTTTTGTATCATAACCACCAGCCACTTCTGTAGGGGTGGGGAGCAGGATCCAAAATTCCCCTACCCACTGCTGGCCACTTTGACAGAACTGTCCACCTGCCAGTCACATGACATCAGGGGATTGAGTTTCAAAGGAAGAACCCAAAGTACACTCTTAAATTCAAGCTGTGGCTGCAAAGAATCAAAGGAATTTCTAGCTGTTTCCTTTCTAATTAATTGGGTGGTTGCTAAATTTGGAACACACATACACACACAAAATACCACTTTGACAGGTGGGTAGGGTGACAGAAAAAGTGCAAAATTCTACCAGCAGCTGGCAAGGAACAATTGGAAGTGCACATAGAGTGTACTACCAAATTTTTCATT